GGCCCCATCTTGGGGTCCTGCGGTCAGGGCTTCTACATAGGGATTTTGGGGGGTACAAATCAACCCATGACAGCAATTGACTTTTTTGCTTGGATTTTAGGTAAAATCAGACAAACCCCACCTGTACCATCCATGCAATGAGTCTCTCCCGAGTGCCTGCCCAGCTGGGGCAGGCGGAAGTGTACGAACGCAATGAGGACCCTGCCCCCTTGGCACCCACAGGAGACAACAGACAAAGGCCTGTGTTAATGGCATGTTGGCTCCCTGCTGGCCCTGGCCTGTCCCTCACTGGCCGTTGCTTCCACTCTCCCCGCAGCCCTGGGGGGTGGGGTGGGTAGGCAGTTATTATCAACCCATTTTACAGTGGGGCAAACTGAGGACTGAGGTCACAGCAGAGTCTCTAAGCCGCCTCCTTCAGATTTGACCCTGACTTAATGGCCTAGGATGACACCGTGTGAGCATGTTTAGGATGGACGCACACTGAAGTCGGTCCCAGAAAAGCCCGCCCTGTGGTTGCTGCGCCCATCTGCTCAGCACAAAGAAACAAGAGGGCTCTGAGTCTGACCCTGTGTGCCAGCTCCGTCCAGCCAGCGGGCGTGGGCTCAGAGCGGCCACGCTCACTCCGTTCTCTCAACAGCCCTGTGAGATAGTCCTGTCGTCTCCTAATATTTATTAGGGAGTTCCCATCCACGGGTGCACTCCCTGAATGCCCACACGGACGGGGCTGGGAGCTGGGAAGCCAACCCAGGGCTCCCCCATGGGTGGCGGGAACCCCTCCAGTGGAGCCATCACGGCTGCCTTCGTGGGGTTACAGAAGAAGGTGTCAAACCCAGGACCTCCATCGTGAGATGCGAACGTCTTTACCAACCTCCCCCCCCCCCAAAGACGCAGGGTAAAATACATATAACACAAAATTCACTGCTCTAAAGTGTACATTGTGGGTGTAGTAGGATTTGTCTCCCCACACCTCACACCTGTGCTTAAGCTCTGACGTGATCATGGTGATGGTTGGTTTAGGGTGACGACTTGAGCTAAGGGGGGGTCTCTGGAGAGGTTTGAGTTTCCCAGTTCAAGTCCGGCTGCGGTTCTCTCTCTCTGCTGCTGGTTCTCCACGCGCTGTCCCCCATGCCTGTCACCACCAGCCTGGCACCACGTGCCACCAGCCCCCCGGCAGGTGCCCAATCCTGAAACCTCCAACTGGAAGCTGGAATAGACCTTTTCTTTCCCAAAGAAACGCCTCCCAGGCATTTATAGTAATGCGAAGTGGATTAATACAGTGCCCAATTCAGGGGCGTCCAGCACACGCCCAAGGCTGTGCAGCCAGCGCCGCTGTGTCGCGCCCGTCCGTCGGGGCTGACAGGTCTGGGAGACGAAGGCGCCAGCCGCCTCTGTCGTCCTGGCTTGGGGACGGCTGCCTTCTGTGTCCTCACTGAGAGGGAGATCTGGTGTCCTGCTCGGTCCTATGAGGCCCAGGGCTCTTCTCAGGATCTCATGAACCCGAATCATCTCCAGGCCTCTGTCTGCAAACACGCTCCCACTGGGGATGCGGCGTCAACCTCCGGTTTCGGTGGGGGCGGGGGCGCACTGCCTGGCGCTGGCCTTGGGTGCAGTGAGCCATCACTTCCCCCCTCCTCCCCCAGCCCTGCGCGGCCGGCACTCGGCTTCCTGTCTCTGGTCTGCCTGCTCTGTCGCAGGCATGGAGTCCCGCAGGGCGTGGCCGTGTGTGTCTGGCTTCTTTCCCTCGGCGCCTTTTCAAGGTTCACCCTGGCTGCAAGCTGGTTTTAAAGCCATTTTTACAGCCGTCGTCACCGAGGCCAGCGCTTGGGGACCTTGCCCTGCGGGGCTGTGGGTGGAGCCCCCTCCCGAAGGCAGGGTCCTAGGCCGTGCTGCGAGTGCATCTGTAGCACTCAGCAGGGCTGGGGGAGGGTGAGCAGGTGGAGACACTCCTGCAAATGGGGGCAAAGGGACTGCCACCTCACGGGCTTCCTGGGGTACCACAGCCTGCACAGGGCTGCGGGAACGACACCCGCGGGTGGGGCAGCACCTGAGGTGCCCCAGGCCCAGCTCTGAGTCGTGAGTGCCGATACTGCCATCTGCTGGCCAGAAAGAAGCCTGCCACAGAACAGTCCGGGAAGCCCTGGGGTTGAACCCTGCCTGCCTGCCGGGAGCTGTGCGAGGGCGAGGACTCTGCAGGCTGAGGGGGAGTGTGATGCGAGTGCTGTGCAGGGATTCAGGGGTGGGCTCAGGGGCCAGGGTTGGTGACAATTTGCTTTGGGAAAAGGCAGATGACAAAGCAATACATGTGGTGCGTCTACAGGCACCTGCAGGTTAGAGCCCGGGAGGAAACCACCCCAGATGAGAGCAGGCTTCTCTCGCTGGGGGGCCGAAGGGGCTGTGCGGGGCTGGCCCGCGCCAGGCTCCGCGGGCAGTATCCGTGCACTGGCAAGGGGTGTGTGCAGGGCTGGCCTGTGCCAGGCTCCGCGGGCAGGATCCGTGCACTGGCAAGGGGTGTGTGTGGGGCTGGCCTGTGCCAGGCTCTGTGGGCAGGATCTGTGAGCTGGCGCAGGGGGGTGTGGGGCTGGCACAGGCCAGGCTCTGTGGGCAGGATCTGTGAGCTGGCACAGGGGTGTGTGCAGGGCTGGCACAGGCCAGGCTCTGTGGGCAGATCTGTGAGCTGGTGCAGGGGGTGTGTGGGGCTGGCACAGGCCAGGCTCTGTGGGCAGATCTGTGAGCTGGTGCAGGGGGGTGTCTGGGCTCTCAGCAGCTGTGGTGGGTGGAAGGAAGCATTAGGGTCACTTCTGGAGGGTGGAATTGTATCCTTTCTGCTTAGTTGTGTTTCCTTATTCTCCTCTTGTCCGTGGGTTACTACTGAACATGCTTGACAGACATTAAGATCCAGGGCAAGGATGCTCCCAGCCCGCACGGCGGGAAGCTGATTCCCGACCCTCACGGCGCAGGCTGCTCTCTCCAGGCCCACCCACGGCCCTCCGGGTGAGCCCTGCTTTCCGTCCCGCCTGGCTCTCCTCTGGGACCGGCCCTGCCACTTCCTGGCTCTGTGTCCTGGGGTTCCTGGCTCTCTGTCCTGGGGTAAGTCCCCTCACAGCCGTTTTTTCCCATGTGGAAGCGAGGGCCATCGTAGGGACTGCACCACAGGGTTGTCCTGCAGGCCAGCCTGCAGGTGTGCACCGAGCAGTGACCGCTGCACCGGGAGCTGTGGACACGTGTGCCTGTGCTGCTGCTGGCAGCAGGCGATCCCCCTGCCCCATGTCAGGGCCTCTGTACGTGAGAGCTGACCGGGTCAGGGTCTTCACACTGCCTGCCTCTGAGCCAGCTGGGACACTCCCTAACGTGCAGACTCGCACCCCTCGCCCCTGCCCTGCCGTCAGCGCCTTCCAACGTCTGCACGCTCGCAAGCCTTCCGGCTGCGCTAGCGCCGTGCTCGGCAGGCGCTGCAGGAGCCTGGGCCCAGGCCGGTCTCAGAGCCGCACAGCCCAGGATTCAAGTTCACCCCCGTCACAGTGCTGGACTCGGGCAGGGAGGGCGTCTGTCTCACGGCCTGCCTGTGGGGTCTCCTGCCTCTGGGACCAAGGGGTCTACGTCTACCCACCAGCCATGCACGCAAGCATGTACACACGGGCATGTGCACAGAAGCCCCTCACATGTGTAAACGCACACACACATGGGCATGCACACATGCATGAGAACGTGTACACAGGAACATGCAGGCACATAAGCATGCACGTATGCAGAATGTAAACACGTCAACACGGGCACACACGAGCACGTATGGACACGATCACACACATGCATGAGAACACACATGTATGCGCAGGCATGTGGACACGTGAGCACATCCACACAAGCATGTGGGCACATCCACACAAGCATGTGGACACATGAACATGTACGTGTGTGCATGTGTGTACATATGTGCACACGTGAGCATGCACACACATGTGTTCTTGCCCTGCTGTGGACGACCTGTGCCACGTGCTCAGCGGGAAGCCTAGGCCCGCCCTGGGCAGATGATGTGCCGTCCAGTACGCTCATGCGCACCCAAGCCTTCTGCCCTCCTGTGTTTTCTCGACTTGGGGTGGGGTTGGGGCAGCGAGACACAGGAAACGGGAACCAAAGCTCTGCTTGACCGTCCTCCCTGAAGCTTTGCCCACAAGGTCCAGCGCTCGTCCTCGCCAGCAGACGTGCGCACGGACAGCTGCCTCGGCCCAGGTGAGCCTCGTCCCGTGGGAGCAACCACCACTCCCATGCCGGGGCGTGGGAAGGGACGGCTCACCGCCATTTCCTGGTGGGGGCAGGGCGACTCCGGGGTTCCAGTCTGGCTGAACAGGGTTTAGGGGAGGGTAGGGAAGGATCAGTCCAGGAGGTTGAGTATCCTGACACGGAGCTGTCCCGAACCTTCACCCGACCGTGACTGGGCGCGTCGTGGGTGCCGGGCAAGGCTCTGGGCCCAGGGAACAGCAGAGAACGAGACGGAAGACTCCCCGAGCTGCCGGGGGGGGGGGGCAGGTAAGCACGGAGCGGGTGGGGCGGCACGGTAGAGACCAGAGGGCGGCCGTTGGAGCTGCCCATGGGTAGGCGTGAGGGCAGAGCTGGGGGTCTCCCAGGTTGGTCTGATAAAGGGACTGGCAGGGATGGACAGCAACAGGGTGAGGGGGCTGAGGGGAGAGAGGGGGTATGCCCTCAGGGGCCACCCCAGGCATGCCCCTAACTCCACACTTGCTGGGCCAGCCTTAAACAAGGGCAGGAAGTGAGCCTGCTGCCATGGCAGAGCTGGGGGCTGGAGGCGCTGATGAGAGGGCTTGGGGTGCTGGCCAGGCAGGGAGCTCACGGCCACAGCAGTGCGCTGATCCATCTCCTCAAAGGCATTTCTCTCCCCTGCAGGGAAGAGCCGGACCCAGCGTGCCGGAGCGACCGGACTCGGTACCCAGCCTCGCGGGGCGAGTCCCCGTCCAGGCCACTTGACGATGGAGAAAACACAGGACCAAAAAGTAAGTTTCATTTATTCAAATTAAATTACGAGTTCCATATACAAATAGAATCTGTAAATATTTAAAAATACAAGATGCTACAAATTTCAAGCTTGGAAAATACAAAAATAGTATCTGTGTGGTACATCTCCATCTCCCTTGGCGCGGCCGACAAGGGCATCCGGAGGCCGGCGCTGCCTCCCTCGTGGCCCCGCAGGCCCCGCCACAGCGCGCACCGCCTCCCGGCCGTGGGGGCGCGGCCATCACTGGTCCAGCTCGTTCTCGTTCTGCAGCGTCTTCATGGCCAGCCCCCAGAGCGTCATGCTGGAGAAGAACTGGCCCTCCGAGTTCCTGTAGGCCGTGGACGCCGCGCGCGCGCCCAGGGGGTCAGCGCAGTGACTGTCCAGAGCGGCCAGAGACGAGCGGATCATGGCCATGCCGTCGGCCTGCAGCGGCTCGCCGCCCGCCGTGCCGTCCGCGTCCGCGTAGGCGTAGGCCTGCGGCGGCGCCAGCTTGCCCAACTTCTCGGGCTCCAGGCCCGTCTTCTCCGGCTCCGAGACGCCGGGAGGCGGCGCCAGCGGGCGGAGCTTGCAGTAGGCGCCCGCGGCCGGGCTGTCAAACGGCGAGCTTTCTGCCGGCTGGCCCGGGAGCTTCACGGACACGGGCATCAGCGTGACCGCCACGTCCTGGGAGTAGGAGTCCGAGCCCCGAGACCTGTCCAGGTCCGAGGCCTCCGCGGCCGCGCCCAGCTCATCCAGCGCGCACGGGCTGCCCGCGTCCGCCCTGCAGTGCATCTTCTTGTGCCGCCGCAGCACGGCCGAGCGCGTGAAGCACTTGCTGCAGATCTCGCACGTGTACGGCTTCTCCCCGGTGTGCGTGCGCACGTGCCGGCGGAGGTCCCCCGAGCCCCCGAAACACTTCCCTGCGGAGAGGAGGGCCGTGTTAGTGCGCCCCCCACAGCTGCTCCCGAAGGGATTCAAGGAGTGAGGCCGCCTGGCCGGGTGTGCGGGACCAAGGTGAGGGGTCAAGGGTCAGCGTCAGCATGGGAGGCAGCACTCAGAGGCCCTATCATCTGCACAGGGGCACAGGGGCCGCCAAAGTGGAGGGTGAGGCTCCTCTGGTACAGAACGACTTTGAACTTCACGCCTGGTTCCCTCATAGTGTGTGGTTTTCTTTTGCTCTTAATATGTGAAAGGCAGAGACAGAGGGAGCTGTTCCGTCCGCTGTTTCATTCCCGAATGCCCACAGCAGCTGGGCCGGGCCCTCAATCCTGGCCACCCGCGAGGGTGGCAGAGACCCGGGTCCTGGCGCCAGGACGGGAACCCAGAGGCTGAGCTGACGCAGGTGGCCCCAGTGCCGGCCTCACCCCGGCACCGCGCACGCATCCGGGACACACGTTTCTCAGGCACTCTGACGATCCTTAGTCTGTTGAGACTTCTCCCCTATTACATATTTGTGTTTGAACTCCTGGCTCTCTAGTCCTGGTCAAGCAATAGTTGGGTTATTTAAAAAAGGGAAAACTCACACAAGATGCGCACAGAAAGCAGCCACAAAGACCCACAGCCCAGGAGGCCCCTCCCGGGAGATGTCCAACAGCCAGACAGGAGGAGGCCTGGGGGTGGGGAGTGGGGAGCAACTGCCCCTGGGTGGAGAAATGTTCCAAAATCAGACTGCAGTGCTAAACAAGGCTCTGGTGAACCACTGGTCGGGGCATGTTCTCTCAAAGCCGTCGAAGACTGCACCTGTCACACACACAGCCCAGCTCCCCCGAAGCTGATGGCACTGGGGTCAGAAACCCTGGAGCGGGTTGGGGAGGAGGAGTCCTGCACTGGCTAGCGGGGAGGGGAGGAGGAGCCCGGCACGGGCTAGCAGGGAGGGGAGGAGGAGCCCGGCACGGGCTAGCGGGGAGGGGAGGAGGAGTCCTGCACTGGCTAGCAGGGAGGGGAGGAGGAGCCCGGCACCGGCTAGCGGGGAGGGGAGGAGGAGCCCGGCACCGGCTAGGCTAGCGGGGAGGGGGGGAGGAGCCCGGCACGGGCTAGCAGGGAGGGGAGGAGGAGCGGGGAGGGGAGGGGAGGGGAGGAGGAGCCCGGCACGGGCTAGCGGGGAGGGGAGGAGGAGTCCTGCACTGGCTAGCAGGGAGGGGAGGAGGAGCCCGGCACCGGCTAGCGGGGAGGGGAGGAGGAGCCCGGCACCGGCTAGCGGGGAGGGGGGGAGGAGCCCGGCACGGGCTAGCGGGGAGGGGAGGAGGAGTCCGGCACCGGCTAGTGGGGAGGGGAGGAGGAGCCCGGCACCGGCTAGCGGAGAGGGGAGGAGGAGCCCGGCACCGGCTAGCGGGGAGGGGGGGAGGAGCCCGGCACCAGCTAGCGGGGAGGGGAGGCGGCGGCACGGCTGAGCTGATCACCTGGGACGGACGACTGCGTGACCAGAGGTGGGTTCCTGATGTGAAGTGACGACATTTCACGTTCTGAGCTGTCAAGAATGGTCAGGACTGCCCTGGAGCGTGCTGGGAGACCAAGTGGCCTTCTGGGTGCAGCCCGGAAGTCCTGCCCCACCGCGAGCGGGGCCTGACCACGGGCTCCCCAGGGGGACTCCGCTCTCACCCTGTTCTCTAAAATGCCCGCCACTCGCTTCATGCACCAGGCCCCTGTGAGGAGCAGGTGCGCGTGGGTGGGGCCCACGTCCTCGCTGTGTGCTCACACCCTGGCACCGGGCTGCCGCCTTTGCTCCGTCAGGACTCGACTCCACCGACGCTCACGGGCAGCAGTAAGCGCCCAGAGCAGGGATGCTGGCTTTGACAGCCGGGTGCTCCTCCTGCCTGGGGGCTGGGGGAGGCACAGTGACCCACAGCCCCCACCCCCACTCCACCCTGCTTTCCCTAGCTGCACCTGTGCTCGCCACCTTCACATCTACAGCCCCGGCACAGGTGCTGGCAGCCGGGAGCCTCACAGCGAACGTCTCCACGGGAAGCAGGAGCCAACAAGATCCCACAACCGACTCTGCCTGCGGCGCCGGCATCCCTGTGGGCACCGGTTCAGTCCTGGCCGCCCCACAGCGAACGTCTCCACGGGAAGCAGGAGCCAACAAGATCCCACACCCGACTCCGCCTGCGGCGCCGGCATCCCCTGTGGGCGCCGGTTCAGTCCTGGCTGCCCCGCTTCCGTCCCAGCTCCCTGCGGACAGCTGGGAAAGCAGCAGAGGACGGCCCAAGCGCCTGGGTCCCTGCACTCTGCCTCCTGGCTTGGGACTGGCCCAGCTCCGGCCGTGGTGGCCATCTGGGGAGTGACGCAGCAGATGGAAGACCTCTCTCTCTGCCTCTCAAACAATCAGTGTTAGAGAGAGACAGGGACTCACCGCAGGCAGTGCAGCTGTAGGGCCGCTCGCCCGTGTGCCGCACCCTGTGCTTGACCAGCTTCCTCTGCATGTTGAACGACTTCCCACACTCATCGCAGGTGAACACTTTGTCCGCCGTGTGTGTCTTCTTGTGCTCCTTCAAGTTGCTGAAGTTGCTGAATCCTGGAGAGACAACAGGCGTCAGAGGGAGGACAGCGCACAACCGGTGAGCAAGCTTCGAGGGAAGGAGGCTCTGGGCTCGGCTGTACCTCGACCACAGATGTCACACAGGTGTGGCTTTTCTCCTGAGTGGATGATGATGTGACGCTGGACGTCGCCAGAGGCTGCGAACCTGAAACGCAATTTACACCCGGTTAGGAGGCCGCCTCCAGCGCCGCGGCCGCTGGAACCGCAGGTCACCGGGCGAGGGACACCTGCGTCAGAGGCAGCCGGGGTGCCCTCGACAGGGGCATGCAAAATCCATTTTGCTGTGCTCGCTCATCTGCCCACCTGGCCTTCCTCGGCTTCCTAGAGCACAAGACCAGATCCTACATGGTGTAGCGTCACCACCTCGTCGGCTGTCGAGAGAAAGAGTGTCACCGGTCCAGAGCAAGGTGAGGTTCCTGGGGCCAGCGGGACAGCCCAGGGAGGATGCCCAGAGACCCCCGAGTGCTTCCCTGCTCTCAGCGGGCGCAGGCCAAGAGCAAGCAGGGGGTGCAGAACCTCAGGCACCAGGTAGATCGTCGAAGGGCTCACGAACACCCTCGTCCCTGCCACCCTCGAGACCCTGGGGGAGCGGCGCCTTCTCCCCTCTGCCTACTACGCCCAATCCTCAGGCTGTGAGACACCGGGAACTAAACGAAGAAAGGACAGGAGGGCTCGCTGAGCAGCGGGCGAGGTCGGGTGACGCGCGAGGTGTCGCGTAAACCTCACCTCGCTCCCTGGTCTCCCCAGCACCGCCAGGCAGGCATGTTCAACCCTGCTTCCCAGAAGGGGAAACCAAGGCCGGAATCAGTCATGAGCCCGGCTTAGGCAGTAACCGCGGCTCTTTCCTGTGCTGTGTTCTGGGGAGGACGAACAGCCGAGCCGTGTCTGCCGGTGCTGCCGCCGCGGCACGCGGGCAGACTGAATTAGGGACCGAATCGCCCCCATGCCCGCGTCTTCCTCTGGGCCTCCCCAGCGTGAATTCATCAGGGGCCCAGAGTTCGCTGTGAGTTTTTATGTTCCCATCACAGCACTTCACATATAGCGGGTGTCCAATAAATGTTGAATGAACGTCTGAATACAAACACTACGTAACCAGGCTAGCTTGTTGGTTTAGCACAACCATTAGAGGGTGCAGTGTGTGGACCCCAGATACACAACCCAAGCGACAGGATGAGGGTCAAGGTTGCCGGCCAGGAGGGGCCAAGGCCCGCACTTACACCACACTGCACAGAGGGATCGACGCCTCATTCCACCAGGGACCAACTGTTGCCAGCCCCCCGCAGGGTTTGGCTGAGCCTTCCCTGAGCCTGGACTGCCTGCTGGCCGTTGAGGATCCTCGGCTGCGGCACCCTCTACTGCCCTCGCTCCTGGAGTCACCCGGGCGGCAAGTCCCACCCCCTACGAGACGGCCACCCCGGGGGGCTCTCATCTGTGTTCAGTTTTGGGATAAATGAACATCTTAGTCTGAAATCAGTTTGCTTCATGTAAACTCCCATTTTCCCCGACTCCTGTCCTAGATTTGCGTTGGGAACTCACTCTTGTCATTGTAATTCTCATGCATGTCACGGGTCTGAGAGTACCCACGGTGGCAGGAGAGGCCCACGCGTGGGCTCCCATCAGAGCTCCCACCACAGGCAGCCCCTGACCTGCGCAAGTTCGAGCCCAGCACTGACCTCTTCCCACAGATCTCGCAGATGTACGGCTTTTCACCGGAATGCCGACGCAAGTGGGTCTGCAAGTTACCTGCCTGCGAAAGGAGAGGGAGAAACAACCATCACCAAAGTTTAGTTTCTTAAAGCCATGTTAGCTCAGAAGGACAAGTGACACGCTCGGCCAGGCTCCCAGCCTGTTTCCAAAGGAAGACCAGGTGGGCACAGCTGAGCAGCCGCAGGACAGCCACATCAGGGCCCTGAGACCCCACGCGAGCCCCTGCTGCGGCCTGCTTGGCGCACTCCCTGCTGAGCAGGGCCTGGCTGCCCGTGGAGGCCATGCCGGCGCTCGCCAGCCTGCACCTTGACCAGGCCCCTCCACAGGCAGCAGCACCCGCTCCGGCTCGTTTCAGAACTGTGTCTGTGTGTTTACAGCCAAGGGGAGAGCCTTCCACGAGGACCCCCCGGCCGCGCAGTGGCTGTGTCTGGCCCACCGTGTCACCTGGGTGCGTGGTGCCCACGTGGGGCAGCACAGCTCACCCAGCTGCAGGCCTCCCCAGTTCCGGGCTCCCGAAAGCAGCAAGGCTCTGCAGAGAGTAACATCAAAATGGAGGCGTCGAACAGACTTCCAGGACGGCGGCACCGAATTACCTGACGTACACCGAGGTGGAAACCGCAGAGGCCTCAGACACTAGAAAAACCCTCGGTGATGCTTCCGGTCAGGACTGGGAAGCAGCCCCCAGCGCCGCAGTCTGACGCCTGAGCCTCTCGCCCTTCTCCCTCCGCTGGATCCTGTGACAGGCCACGAGCGCCGCGCCCCGGGGAGCAAGGGGAGTGCACGGCCCACAAGGAAGCCCCCAAACGAGCACGAGCCACATGCGGTGAGCAGGCCTGGCGTTCCCACTCGCCCCGTGTTTCACATAAACGGCAGAGGCCGATGGCACCTGCGAGTGGGAACTCACAAGTATCAAAACCGTGGCTATGGCCTGCATGACACGGGGACCGGCGCTGTCTGCCAGGCTCTGGCAAGCTGAGTTGGACGCCACACTTAAGATCAGGTACCCGTGGCTTAGGAAAAACCCAGATTTATCTTCAAAACCAGAGAAAAGAACCTGGCGAGATTTGGGGACGTGTCTGTAACAGAATGACCGTAAACAGCAAAGCCAGGCACGACAGCAGCGTGCGCTGCTGGACTCTTAGGCCTTCACCCCGCGACCAGACCCCACAGCTAAGTGGCGAGAAACACATTCAGACAGAGCAGGATAGTGTGACCTGCTGGCTGCGCCGGCCAGGAGCGCTGGCATATGTGGGTCTACACTCTTCTCACGCTGTGCCAGGCCCCAGGAATAAACCAGCGTGTGTGCACAGTGCAGCGACAAGGGGCCCTCTGCCGCTCCGGCACCAGCCACGAGGGTTACGGCGATGGTCTCCTACGGGTGTTAAAGCAGCGGCTCCCTAGTGCCAAGAAAGCTCGCTGCTTACAGGGCGGTCTACACCGTGCCCTGTGCCCAGCTGTGCGGTCAGACCCCTGCTCCCGCGGTCAGTGAGTTACACGTTACGGTTGAAGTGGATTCCGAGCAACGCGGCCTTTTTCCTTTTTAAGAAAGGCATAACATACTCGCTTCCCAAACATAATATAGTGGTCTTCCACGTAATGTTACACCAGCGATACCAAGCTGGGGAATGTTTCTTCACCTGGCCCCACTGTTCGGATAAATATTGTAAGATTCTATAAACAAGTGGAGTGGCTCAGGAAAAATCCCATCAGATCAGGCAGCACACCGGGCTGCAGATTATGTGAGCTTTAGCCAGCATTCTGACTTCTGGGGAATCCCTGAGCCACTCCAGTACCCTGGGGCCCTGCGTGCACGACACTCCATCAGGTGGTAATGGTGCAGTGAGTGCTCTTCACGGGCGCACTCTGCATCTCCCTGAGTGGCTGCAAACAGCACTTGGCTCAGTCGCCCCATGTGTTACAAAGTAACAGTATTCACATTTCACTGCCAGGTCATAAAATTGGGATTAACTACATGAATTCAGGTTTGTCTGAGGGTTCCAAAGCTTGTGCTGTTAAACATATGCTAAAGATGTCAGCAGGAATGACTTTTGATTCTAAGTCATTAACGACTCCTTAAGATGGAGCTGTTAGTTTTTTTATTTGACAGGCAGAGTTAGAGAGAGAGAGAGAGAGAGAGAGAGAGAGAGAGAGAGAGAGAGAGAAAGGTCTTCCTTCTGTTGGTTCACCCCCCAAATGGCCGCTACGGCCGGCACTGTGCAGATCTGAAGCCAGGAGCTTCCTCCCGGTCTCCTGTGCAGGTACAGGGGCCCAAGCACCTGGGCCATCCTCCACTGCCTTCCCAGGACACAGCAGAGAGCTGGATTGGAAGAGGAGCAACCGGGACTAGAACACTGCACCCACATGGGATGCTAGCACCGCAGGTGGAGGATTAACCTAGTGAGCCATGGCGCCGGCCCCCTGTTAGAATTTTTACCAGAACTCTGCTGCAGAACACAGCGACCTAGGAGCCGAGGAGCTGTTGTAAACGCCCTCTGGTAGGGCAGGACTTAGACGGAGGAACCCCGCCCATTCCTGATCACAAGCACTCTTTCCATGGGGGACAGAGGGAGGGAGAGAGCGTTTACATAAAAATGTCAAGAATCATAAAACTAGTGGCTGGCGTCATGACACAGCTGGTAAAGCCGCTGCATGCAATGCCAGCACCCCATATGGGTGCTAGCTGTGTCCCCACTGCTCCACTTCCCATCCAGCTCCCTGCTAATGGCCTGGGAAAAGCTGCAGAAGATGGCGTGGGTGCTTGGGGCCCTGCCACCCATGTGGGAGACCTGGATGAAGCTCCTGACTTTGGCCTAGCTTGGCGCTGGCTGTTGTGGCCATCTGGGGAGTGAACCAGCAGATGGAAAATTTCTCTTCCTCTCTCCCTCCCTTTCGAATAAATAAATCTTCAAAAAATCATAATACTAGAGACTGTAGGGATCGCAGATCTTAAAAAGTCAGCTAGTTTAGGAGTTTCAAGAATGGAATTTCACAGAGTAGTAAAATGTAAAACAAAAACAAACCTGGGACCAGTCGAGAGGGAACCTAAATGAAGAACATTCTTTCACAACACGCAACAGGAGAAGTGGGGAGTGTCCCTTAGAGCTCAACACGGAGTCACCTGGGAAAAGCTCACTGCACCCTTAGTTTTACACCTGCACCACGGACACCGCCGCCTCAGTGCACACCAGCGCCCAGGACGCCCGTGCCGAAGCTGCTGGCTGCAGGCAGCTCCACCGGCTCCGGTGTGGAGGCCTCTGCCCGTCCGGACTGGGGCTCCTGCCACTCAAACCCTCTCAACCCGGCTTCCTGTCCACCGCCGTGTTTCTACTCTGTCTCCTCAGAGGCACAAAGCTGCCCCGCTGCTCTCCTCAAGGCGCCGAGCACGCCAAGTGTGCTTTCTCCAGTTCCCAGCCAGGCTGTGCTGTGTGTCGCACAGGGGAGCCCGCGTCCTACTCTGAGGCACCACGACTCTCACTCCGCAGATGCAGGCGCAGGCGCAGCGGCCAGGCTGTCGGGAGTCTGCACGCCAGGCGAGGGCGGGACGCACCTGGGGAAGAGAGTCACGCTGCGGCTGTGTGTGCCGAGTGCGGCCAGGGCGGCAGTGTCCGCGCCAGACACCCACACTCTCCTGTGGCTGCTCTGTAAACAACACAGTATGACAGCTGTTTACACTGCACTGCCGTGGAAGTCAGCATTACAGGTAACCCAGACGGCCTACGCTCTACAGGAGGACGTGCGCAGCATTGACCTGAGAGACCCGAGCTTCCTGGGGGTTCCATGGACACTAGCAGGTGACGGTATATTCTGCTGTCCCAATCAAAGATGGTAGCAGCTTTCTAAAGCTGATGTACCGGGGCTGGCGCTGTGGCACAGCAGGTAAAGCCACCGCCTGCGGTGCCGGGATTCCATATGGGCGCCACTTCAGGTCCCGGCTGCTCCACTTCCCATCCAGCTCTCTGCTATGGCCTGGGAAAGCAGCAAGGACAGCCCAGGTCCTTGGGTCCCTACCTGCTTGGGAGACCCAGAAGAAGCTCCTGGCTCCAGATCGATGCAGCTCCAGCCACTGCGGCCAATTGGGGATTGAACCAGTGGATGGAGGACCTCTCTCTGCCTCTGTGTCTAACTCTGCCTTTCAAATAAATAAATTTTTTTTAAATAGCTGATGTACCATATTGCTTGCTGACTTATCATTAAGGCTGAGGTTGACTTTTTAGACAGACTAGCCCTGTGAAATACTAAACCCTCAGTAAGCAGGATGGGGCACATTTTCTAACTTCTGGCAAACGATGTGGGAGTTCCGCGTTCCAGCGCCCCGGCTTAGGTGAAGGGCGCGTGGGCGGGCACTGTTTACTGAGCTGCACCAGGCGCAAACACTGGGGACTCTGGGTGGATCCCGGGCCTGCGTGTCTCTGGGGCTCCCCCACCCAAACAGCACTTTCCAGGGAGACGCGGCTGCACCCGCCCTCTGGCCACGCTGCTCCTGTGCGCGTCACTGGACCAGATCCTTCGTGTGCTGGCTCCTCCCCCTGGGCCAGCGCCACTCCCGTCCCCTCTGCAGGATGCTGCACACGACAGTGCGACAACCCTTACATTCATAAAAACCAGGTAAAATACACACACGGACACGGGAGAGAGAAGGGTACTTCGCTATGAGGCATAGGAGCCAAGGGGCTATGGGCAGTGAAGGCCTAAAGCAGTGGTCTCAAGCCTGGTTGTATGGCAAAAATTCCTGGATTAAAAAAATGCCAACAGCTGAGCCTCGCCCCAACCCAGAGCCAGAATCCCTGAGGGTGGGCAGCTGGCCCCCGAGGCGGATGGGGGCAGACAGCAGGGGTGCTTGACAGTCAGTTTTAGTTTGGTCTGCACAGGGTGGCACGGAGGCGTTCCGAGTGGCAGAACGACAGAACATCACACCATTAGCACAATTTAACTGTGAAGCCTGCAAGCCCACGTTCTCATCCAGTCTCCCTCAGTGCTCCACCAAGGGCTGTCCCTTACTTATCAGACAAAGGAGGCTGCGAGACGCTGTGACTGGCCAGGGCCTGTGCTTTCTCCACTATAGAAAGCTGCCAGGGGACCGGCACTGAGGCGTAGCGGGTAAAGCCTCTGCCTGCAGTGCCAGCATCCCATGTGGACACGGGTTCAAGTCCCAGGTGCCCCACTTTCAATCCAGCTCTCTGCTGTGGCCTAGGAAAGCAGTGGAGGATAGCCCAAGTCCTTGGGCCCCTGCACCCACGTTGGAGACCTGGAAGAAGCTCTTGGCTCCTGCCTTTGCATCAGCACAGCTCCGGCCGTTGCAGCCAACTGGGGAGTGAACCAGCGGGTGGAAGACCTCTCTCCCTCTCTGCCTCTCCTTCTCTATGTAACACTTTCAAATAAAATAAACAATTCTTTAAAAAAGAAAAATAAAGCTGTTACGAGGACCCTGGAGGAAGGGGCGGGCCCCAGGGAGGCTGGGGACAGCAGGTGGTGGTGGCCACAGCGCTCACCTACGTCACTAACTCAGCCCTGCCCACACCCCCACTGGGGGCAAGCATCTTATCTTCCTCATTTCACAGGTCAGGAAACAGAAGCCGCAAAGGGTCAGGAAGCTTGCTCGAGGCCACAGAGCAGAGGCCCGGACTGTCTGGCTCCAGGGGCCAGACTCTGATGCCCCGCCAGGCCTGTGGGACAAAGCAAGGGCCTGAAAGGTCACCTGAGGTGACCCGGGCAGCTGGGACGACGAGTGCTCAGCTCAGGTCGGCAAACCCTTCCTGAACGCTTCCTGGGTGCGCGGCCTCCCCCTGACCCACAGGGCAAGGAAGACAGGACATTCCCATAAGCTAGAGGAAGCAGCAAAAGCAGGCAGTAAAAATCGTTTGCTCTTTTTTCTGACACCCCTAGGAAGAGGAGGAGCTGCACTGGGCGAGCCTGGTGCCACGTGCAGCCCCCAAGAATGCCACGCTCACCGTGGGCCACTGGGAACTGTGCCGACGGGGACAGGTCAGGACAGGTCCAGGACCCTGAGCCTCCTTGGTGGGGAAAGCAGAGAGGGTCCTGTGAGGATACACACACACACACACACACACACACACACACAGAGGGTTCTGTGCACACACACAGAAGGTCCTATGCGCATACACACACACACACAGAGGGTCCTGTGCACACGCACACACACAGAGGATCCTGTGTGCACACACACACACACAGAGGGTCCTGTGCACGCACACACACACACACACACACACACAGAGTGCTATTTTCCCCGCAATGAACCAGAAATTTGTCCTCCTGGAAATCCCCTCTCGTGATTCAGTGTGAAGCCTGTCGGTCACAGGTATCAGCGCACGCCTCTCCCCAGGACGACAGCACGGCTTATTTATAATACACACACACACTGGGTTTCAGGTTCCCAATTATGAACAGTAAATAAAGAGTATTCCCACCTGAGAGAAATGCTTCCCACAAATGTTACATTCAAAAGGTTTCTCACCTAAAACAGAACAAACAAGAAACAAGTTGTAAAATCACGACCAGCACGTGCAGTTACGTCGGCTCCTGCCGCATTCTTTACCCTAAAGGCAGGGGGAGTCTCTGCTTCCGCACACCATCTGCTGCCGGGAGCTACGGGTGGGATCCACGAGGAGTCCACCCCTGGGCTGAACGGCTGTGCAGTTATGCAGCCTCAGCTGCGGGACACGGTCTCTGCCTTCAGCGGGAGTCAAAGGTGAGCCTGCCTCTGCCTGACACAGCAGGGCTCGCTCACGCGGAGGTTGCCTCCCTCTGTGGCCGTCCGGCTTGCTTTAAGCTTGCTCCCAGAGAAGATTCCCTCAGGGAGAGGGGGTTTCTCTGCTGACCTGCAGGCACCTCCAACGTCAGGCCGGGCAGCCGCATTCCAGCAGAGGAGACAGTGGAGGATGGCACCTCTCGGCCACCAAGAATGACCGCTGTCTGAACCCGGCTTACAGGCACCCGGTTAGGGGCTGGCACTTTGGCACAGTGGCTTAAGCCACAGCGTGCAGATATCCCATATGGGCACTGGTTCAAGCCCTGGCTGCTCTACTTCCAATCCAGCTCCCTGTTAATGCACTCGGGGAAAGCAGTAGAAAAAGGCCCAAGTCCCTGGGTCCCTGCACCCACGGGAGACCTGGAAGAAGCTCCTGGCTTCTGGCTTCAGCCTGGACCACCCCTGGTCGCTGCAGCCATTTGGGGAGTAAACCAGCAGATGGAAGATCTAATTCTCTCTCTCTCCTTTACTCTGCCTTTCCAGTAAATAGAGGAATCTTTTGTTTTTAAACAGAAAGAGATCTGTTCAATAAAAGCACACTTTGTGGGACTAATCTACACAACCTATTAAACAGCTTGAACACCAAGACCTCGCCCTTTTCCCCACTCCCCTCAAAACTAATGGCTCCCTCAAGCCCTCTTTCTGAACCTGCAACCCCGCTTTCCCGCTACTGAACTTCTCTGAAGGAGCCAGCTAACGAGCTCTCCGCTCCTGCCACGGTGTTTCTATTTTTGTCCTGCAAATGTCTGATGGCTTCCTTGACCTTGAATAATTATAATCACATTAATTCTGTATTTGGAGATTCCATTTACATCTGAAATTGTCGGGATAACAGTGACAAATAAATTAAATCCCCCATAAGAGATTTATATAACAGTGTGAAAAAAATAGAGGTCACTGGTCCTAAGACTTGTAGGTAACCAAGGCCGTGGTCCTGCTCTGGTGGGCCTCGGGCCCCTTTGCTGACAGCGGGCCCTGCCTAGAGCGTCCGTCCATGTGGGCCGCATCTAGGGACCCAGACCCTGTCTGACATGAAGACTGAGTGGCTTTTCCAACATTTCCCTGGCTGCCAGGGCGCCATCACCACCTGCCACACACACTACACTCAGAGGGTGGGAAGGGCGAGCAACCACTCCAGCTATTTTTGAACATTGTCATGGCCTCACACACTCCAAAAAGGGCTCCCAGAATTTAAAATAATAATAATAATAATAATAATAATATTTTTTATGTCCTTTAAACAGGTGGGCTTCTCAAATAAAAATGAACCTTGATCGCCAGGCTGTAGGGGAGAAAAGCAAGCAGAATGAGCTAACAGTCTGCAATACTGTCTTCCTATGGAGCAGTTCTGTAGGAACACAGTTGATAAAAGGCTTTCACGGAGGTCACTGAGATCTCCCAGCACAACAAGGCAGGAAACACCTAGCACACGGACGGCAGAGGGCCACACGGAACATGCATGAGAGCAGTTAACTGGGAGCATCGCGTCACACGTGACTTCCCAGTTTATAAGGCAACTGTTGTTAACGTGTAACGTGTTGTCCAAGTCATCATGCTGAATTATAGGAATGAAAGCAAAATGCATGTATTGCACAACATAACGTCCATGTGTACGGCCTTAAAAAAAACCTCCAAGAGTAGGAGGTACAGATTGAGACAATGAAACTTTGAAAACTCGGTGTTTAAAATCTAAGAAACTCATTTGAAAATATCAAATGATTAAGTGATCCTTAAAAGTTTACTTCCTGCCTCCCAAATCATGATTTCTAAAATCAGGTATTTATTACTTCTAAGAGAATTTTAGGATTACTCCAACTAAATTCTTGTGGAATGAATTAAGCTACACTTTGCCTTCAAAAAATAAGCCTAATAAGTCTAGTGAAACTAAATATGATTTATATGCCTTAGAATTTAAATAATACACGAGGCTTCCTTGGAAGCAGAGAGCTTATCATATACAACCGGGAATTCAAGTTTAAAATACACCATCTTTCTACGGGGCAACTGATTTGCAGCACTTGGAAGCATCACCGGGAACACAGAGTCAAAGGCAGCTGAAGCTCGCGCGTTGGCTCAGGACACGAGACTCCAGCGCGCAGTGGCGGGACTCCTTACAGACGAGGGCAGGCAGTGCTGCCGGCAGGGCATCGCTGCGTCGCTCTCCCGCAGGGCCGGGGCTCTGTACCTGTATGCGACCGTCTGTGCAGCTCCAGGTTGCTGGGGTGTTTAAACGGCTTCCCGCACAACTCGCACGCGTACTGCCTCTGGGCCTGCGGGGCCTGAGCCTGCTCGTCCGGCGCCCCCGGGGCCTCGGGCACCTCCACGTCACTCTCCGGGGGCACCAGGTCCTCCCTCTCCTGTTCGTGGGGACTCTGGCTGCGGGCCTTCTCCCCGGCGTTCTCGCAGGGGGCTTCCACCCCCTGGGCTAACGCGTCGCCCGCCGCCGCGGGGGCAGAGGCCTGCTCTGGCAGCTTCTGGGACCTCAGGAAGTTCAGCTTCTTGAGATGAACGGCCTTCTTCAGCCTCATCTGTCTGGTGGGCTGCTGGCAGCCGGCGTCCGGCTCGGGGTCGGGGGCAGAGCTGCTCAGAGGCTGGGCCAGGAAGTTGGAAGGCAGGTGCTCCGGGGACTCCAGCAGACACGCGGAGGGGCCCACGGCGCAGGGCTGGTTTTCCACGGCGGCGGCGAGGGCTGCGTGGGAGCTGAACGCGAAGGGCTGCTCCACGACGCGCTCGTGGCTCGGGCAGGCGGCCTGCTTGCAGTGCTTGCTGTAAAGGTTCCTGAGCTTGTAGTAGCAGCTCGGCTGCCGGAAAGCCAGGTCAGCGCAGCCGCCGTCCAGCGTGTCCGGGGCTTGCTTGGCGCCGTCAGCTGCGGCCTGAGGAAGGCTCCCGGTCGGCGGCGCCTGAGACTGCGGCTCATCCAGAACCTTGGCGGGCGGTGCGTCCGCCGCGCACTCCTGCAGTAAGTGAGGAGGGTAGCTGTCACTCAGGACACAGGGCCCGTCCGCGGTCAGCGCCCCCTGCAGGGAGAACACGCCGTTACACGGCAGGCCCGCGGGCTGGTCCACCGTGGTGGACTTTAAGAAGGTGTGACACAGCGTCAGGACGTTCTGCACTTGCAGGCACTGCGCGGTGTCCAGCATGACGTGGATGTTGTCCTGATTCAGATCCAGGTGGGACGTGTACATGAAGTCCAGGATCTGCCCTATGCCGCTCACGTTTTTAACGTCCAGGTGAAACACGTCATTCTTCTGGCTGGAAGAGTTCTGAAAGAGGCTCCTGGTAACAGAAAGATACCTGTTTACAGGGTCAACACGCACGCGGGCCGCTAACCCAACACACCACCCTCCCATGCAGGCGCACCGCAAACACACGTCTGAGTCCTTCGAACAGTTCACAAACCATCCGATTAACAACTCAGGTGAATTACGTGTCGGGGGTTCCCAACTTCACAACAGACCTCCAAGTACAGGTCTGGAGTAGACTCACTGCGTGGACAGCTGAGAGGTGGGCACTCGGCCTGCTGGTTAGGACTCCAGCTGGGACGCCTGCATCCCATATGGAAGCCGTCAGCTCCAGGCCCCACCCTCCTGCTAACGTGCACCCTGCTGGTCTGGTCCCTGCTATCCATGGCGGGGGTGGGGTGGGGGGACCTGAAATGAGTCCCCAGCTCCTGGCGTTGGCTCTGGCCTGGCCCTCGCCATTGCTGCCATCTGGGGACTGAACCAGCAAATGGGAGTTCTCTAGATCTTTCTTTGCTTCTCAAATAAATTTAAAATTTACAGATTAGGAAGATTACACCCAGTAACATGGCTGGTAAATCACACATCAAGAAGTTCCGAATATTATGTAAATATTTTTCCACATGAATTACATACTCATACAATACAGAAGTATACAAAAGGGTATACACTTTTCAATATTCCATGCTTACTCTGACAAATTATATATTTCAAGCCATAAAACATATAGACCAATGTTTCCATATCTAAGTGCCTTTAAAACTTCTAAAGACAAAAACTGCCTTAGCCAACCAACCCTCAGTACACACTCACTGCAAGCAGTCATGCATTTGGCTGCCAGGTTTTCAGCAGGCCAATGGTCCCCAAACCAACAGAGGAAACACTCCTATGAATTCATGAAGAAAAAAAGGCACCATAAAGCCAGGCACTTTACCATGACACAAGTCAAGTTCACAGGTGAAGGACTTGGTACTGGATATAAATAACCGGGGCTGGGTCAATTAGCCCCCACGCTCATGAAATACAGCCACCTGTGTCCCCCACACAGCTGCACCTTCTGTGATGGACACTCCTGACAACCAGTGGGTTACAGTCTTAAAACCTTACTATCTGGGAGACAGGAGAACAGGGGGCCCTTCTGTGCAGGAACGAGAACTGCCCTGCGTCCACAGTACGTGACACGGTGCACAAAGTGACCGAGACTTCGTTCAGGACTCAAGACTGTCAGGGAGACAGTAAATTATGTTCCACACGAGAGGCTTTCAAGAAGTTCACGGGGATCCATGTTAGGAAAGGACTACGGATTTCACATTTCTGCACCAAAAAAACTTATACCTCAATTCCATTTTTCCATGAACATTTTGAAGTACCTGTGAATAATGTTTATTTGAGTAGTAAAATGGTACAAATTCTGAGAACAAAGAGTACTTGGGTGGGAGGAAAGAGGTTTTAGTTTTAAGGAGAATTAAATCTGCCAACCAGAAAATTAACTTATGTAGAATACCAACTCCAGCGATATTAAATGTTTTTTTTTTTTTGTTTGTTTGTTTGACAGGCAGAGTGGACAGTGAGAGTGATAGTGAGTGAGAGAGAGTGAGAGAGAGAGAGAGAGAGAGAGAGAGAAAGGTCTTCCTTTTGCCGTTGGTTTACCCTCCAATGGCTGCCGCGGCTGGTGCGCTGCGGCTGGCACATTGCGCTGATCCAAAGCCAGGAGCCAGGTGCTTCCCCTGATCTCCCATGCGGGTGCAGGGCCCAAGGACCTGGGCCATCCTCCACTGCCTTCCTGGGCCACAGCAGAGAGCTGGCCTGGAAGAGGGGCAACCAGGACAGAATCCGGTGCCCCGACCGGGACTAGAACCCGGTGTGCCGGCGCCGCAGGGCGGAGGATTAGCCTAGAGAGCCGCGGCGCCAGCCTACTGTTCGGTTTTATTCAGTATTTGCACATAAATATTTCATGTAAGAAAAAAAGGTGTATGAGGAGAACCAAGCTGAGATACAACTAAGGTTTCTTAAAATATTCCAACAAGGAATAAAGTATTTTAATAACATTTTTTAAAAAGTTTGAGTGAGCCAGCAGATGGAAGATCTCTGTCTCTCCCTTTCTAGCACTTTGCCTTTCAAAGAAAATAAATATACACCTCAAAAAACTGAAACAGAAAATTATGTATAGGATGTCTGTCCCACTGTGATTTATCATGGAAAAATTCTTTTTTTAAACAAAGATTTATTTATTTTATTTGAAAGGCAGAGCAACAGAGATGCACAGACAGAAAAACACAGATCTTCCATCTGCTGGTTCACTCCACTAATGGCTGCAGAGTGGGAGCCAGGAGCTTCATCTGGGTCTCTCATGTGGGTGCAGGGATCCAAACACTTGGGCCATCCTCTGCTGCTTTCCTAGGCCATTAGCAGGGAGCAGGATATGAAGAGGTGCAGCCGGGATTTGAACCGGCGCCCATATGTGGGCACTGCAGGAGGCACCTAACCTGCTGCACCAACGCTGGCCCCAATCACAGAAAAATTCTTACCAGGAATTCAGTTCCTCAATCATTTTATCCTGAAAGGAAGTGAAATACATACATATATGTGGAGAAGACTGAAACTAATGATTTAAATGACAAATTGTCAAAATACTTGCATCACCCCAAATGCATTTTACTTCCAGGTGAGTCTAAACACAAGAGCCATAAAATCATCTAAAATAAAAACTAACTTCTAAAATAATTAAGGACTACAGTTACGAAGGAAAAAGACAAAGCCCAGTCTGTTACAGAAGAGAAGGGCAGGACAGCCAGGGAGAGCCCACTGTGGGCAGAGCCCTCCCCCCCCACGTACCGGAAGTAGTGGCTGAAGGCGGCCAGCACGTTCTTGTGGGCCTTGAAGCACACGCCTCTCACCACCAGCATGCAGTCGCACAGCAGGCCCTGGATGCGCTGCTCATGCAGCTGCTGCAGGAGGTGGCAGCTGTGGGTGGCGACAGGGTCCATGCCAAACCCGCGAGACCTGCGGCAGAGAAGTGGTGACAGTGGTTCCTCACGACGTCGCTGCAAGCCGACCGGCGCCGAGCCCCACCCGCCCTGTGCTCCCCAACACACACCCCTGAGAAACTCCATTGTGGGGCACCGAGGCCGGGGCTGTGGAGCAGGGCCATCCGCGCGTGAATGTGGCTGCCGCTGGCCACGTGCGGCCTTGAGTATCTGACACGTGGCTGAGGATCGGAAATTTCAGCTTATATTTAAATATATCTGACAGCACAGATCTAGAATATAATCTTGTTAATACCATATGTCTCTCTCATGTGTTAAGAAAATGACAAATTTCAAAAACAAACTAAAACACATAGAGTAACACGTGTAAGGCAAAAACAAAAAAAAAGCCAAGTGGTTAGGATTCACCGTGCTTTCATGGAACACCTGTACAGAACCGGAAGCTGGGAAAAATTAGGAGTCGCCAAAAATAACGGACAGCAGCAGCCAATGAAAAGGGTGGTATCACAGCAGGGCACCCACCTCTGTGCCTCCGTGGCTGTGGGACGTACGGGAAGGGGCTGAGCAGGTACCTGGTGGCTAGTGAGGGGTCTGGAATGATACCCTAGATGGGCAGGTCACCCTGAGCCTCACAGAGCTGTTTTTGTGTTTGTATGTATGTTATCTGAAAGGGGGAGGGGAGGAGAGGGGAAGGGAAAGGGAGGGGGAGGGGAGGGGGAGGGGAAGGGAGGTGGGGGAGAGAACTGCCCATCTGCTGGGTCATTCCCCGAATGCCGCACAGCTAGGACTGGAGCAGGCTGAAGTCGGGGGCCAGGAGCTCGGTCCGGCAGTGGCTTGAGTCATCACCACTGGCTGTCAGGGCGTGCACTAGCAGGCAGCTGGGATGGACATCAGGGCAAGGACTGGTGCTAAGGCACGCAGGCACGGGACATGGGCAAACGCTGCCCCCCGCTGGCGCCAGCTGACACGGGAGGCCACTACGAGGACACGGAGTTCCATCCTGCAACACGGACTCACCGACTGACCACAGTGTGACGGGCTTCAGGGCCGCGGGAGTGAGCATGCCGGCTGAATTCCAGTGAGAGCAACACACACTCACAAGTACGCAGCCACAAGTCACGGCTAGACAGTGAGACACAGTGAGACAGACACAGGCCGGCGCCAGGAGCTCAGTCCAGCAGGGCATGACTTACAGAGGAGACGTGACAGCGAGGGAAGGTAGTGGGTGTGGGACGAGACTCCGGAGGTTAGAATGGCAGGCTGGACACTGAACTCCGCCCCGCCACCCTCCGCCTGCTCTGCGGTCCTTCTCGGTGAGCAGATGCAGCAGAACCCGCTGGGATCTGGCTAGCGTGGCCCTCCTTCACCCCACCTTCAGCCCCCTCTCCCCACACACACCGGCCACAGCGGAACTCCCGGGCTCCCCAAACGCACCACATCCCTGGCTCATTAGTGAGGACCTGGGCAACGCCCTCTCCCTGCGGTGCCCGTCCTACCTCACAGGTTGCTGCGGCAACAGGGTAAACAGCTGGAATGGTATCTGGCACGTCTAAGTGCTCCGCAGGTGTTCTGAGAATTCCCTGGGAGCTCAGGAGTGCCGACTCCTGGCACCGGGCAGAGCTCTGTCCTGTGGTCCGGAGTGGGGCCAGGGCATCAGCACCACAAGCTTCCGGCTGCTCCTGGAGGTGACCCGCAGGCCTCCGCACCACACCGCCTCTCCTGGGAATACTGCGTTCACACCGGACCGCCCCTTTCCAGCAGGGCTGGGCTGGCTGCCGCCTGCTTCTCTCACGTCTGACCCTGGGATCGCCCATGCAGGCTCCCGTGAGGTAACGCGGTTCCCGCATTCGTGTCCAGTGCTGCTGCTCTGTGGCACCTCCTGATCTCTGCCTGGCACACAGCAGACCCTCAGCCTCTACAACCCACGCTCCCTGACCTCTGCTGGCTGATGAATACTGGCAGGTAACTTTTCACATGCACTTAGGCCATTTTAAATCCTTCCCGTTACATCCCACCCAGCGGCCGCTCTGGCCCCTGCCCTCTCCTCCTCCTCACCCGTGACCCAGGAGTGCGTCTGCGTGTGGCCTGCTACACCCCGACAGCCACAAACCTCCCACTCACCGCCCCGTCACTGCCTTGGGCTTGGCAGGATGAAGTGTGCCTCCTCCTCTCCACGCAACCTTCCCATAATTCCCCTTTCAGGGCCTCACTCTGTCCCCCCCAGGTCCGTCCAACACAAATCTCACCCCCACTTTTCAAAACAGCAGTGTCCACCCCCCAGAATGACCCCGCCGTGCTCTGCCGACCCCTCCTCCCCAGCTCTCCTGCAGCGGCCACTCCTTCCTGAAGCTCCCCCTCCTCAGGACTCTTCCGGTTCCCTACACCCCGGATCTGTGCGGTCTGTGCCACGCCTCCTCTCCCGCTAGTCCAGAAAGCCTAGTGTTCCTGGGATGCAGCTCCTTGGCCTCTCCTCGGTTCCTGGACCATCACGTGCAGCCCGGGCTTCCGCCTGCGCGAGCAGACGGCTCTGAAACCGGAAACGTCACCTTCCACCACCAGTTCCAAATCTCCAGCCTTCTGCCGAACGTCTCCAGGGCTGCGGCCCCTCAACCTGGCGCCTCTGTGACGCGTGCCCCTCACCCCTCACGCCTCCTCTCACCCCCCCCTTCCTTACGGGAAGCACCGATTCTGATGTGCAGAGCTGGGGGCAGGGTCACCACCTCCTGGTCTGGCATTTACAGAAAGCCCTGGGACGGGCAGCCTCGCCCAGACCAGCACTCAGAAAGGGAGGCTCGGTGCCACGTGGCGGGCACTGTCTCCAGTGCCGAATCCTTGGGGCAGTGAGGAGCCAAGCCAGTCATCAGTGAGCCGCCCCTGCCCCACTGGCAGCCGGACCAGAGAGGGCCTCTTGGTTTATAACTAGCTATCACGTACGAACCACGTACTGCAGAACTGTGTCTACTAACTCAAACACTTGTAAAGGCTCAGCTATCACCATTTCCAGGTGAAGAAGCCGAGCAGTGGGGAGGCCAGGCAGCTGTTAGGGCCATAAAGCCCCCACGTGCCAAAGCTGGGCCTTGAACTCCGAGACCCGGGGGTCCCTGTTCTTACGCTTCACTGACTCCCGTGGGAAGACCTCGAACCACAAACCAATGTTAAATACAGCCACTATGCTGAACCTTCATTAGACATATCTAGCTCTACAGAAATAATAACAGAAACAATTCTTTGGACCAACTCCCGGAATTATGATATACAAAGTTATGAACTCTTCCACAATTCCTTTCCTAAAAAAAATTTTTTTTTATTTAGTTAACTGAAAGGCAGAGCTACAGAGAATGAGAGAGAGGCAGAGACAGAGAGATCTTCCATCCGCTGGTTCACTCCCCACACGGCTGCAATGGTCAGGGCTGTGCCAGACTGAAGCCAGGAGCCAGGAGATTCTTCTGGGTCTCACTGGTAGGTGCAGGGGCCCAAGCACTTGGACCATCTTCCACTGCTTTTCCAGGCGCATTAGCAGGGAGCTGGGTCAAAAGTGGAGCAGCCGGGACTTGAACCAGTGCCCATATAGAAGGCCAGCACTGCAGGCAGAGGCGTAACCTACTACAACACAGTACCGGCCCCCACAACTTACTTTTTATTTTAAAAGATTATTTATTTGAGAGGTAGAGTTACAGACAGTGAGAGGGACAGAGAGAAAGGTCTTCCCTCCATTGTTTCACTCCCCAGATGGCTGCAACGGCCAGAGTTGCGCCGATCCGAAGCCAGGAGCTTCTTCCGGGGTCTCCCACGTGGGTGCAGGGGCCCAAGGGCTCGGGCAACCTTCCTCTGCTTTCCCAGGCCACGGCAGAGAGCTGGATTGCAAGAGGGGCAGCCGGGACTAGAACCGGCACCCATATGGGATGCCGGCACCGCAGGCAGAGGATTAACCTCCTGCGCACAGAGCCAGCCCCCAAAATTTACTTCTGAATTATAAATAACTAGAGTTCTCTAAATTACTTCCTGACGTCAGTCTGGTACCTCCCCAGCAGGGTCAGGCGCAGCTCCGGAAAAGGAATGTGGATTTGTATTTCTGACACACTCTGGAAACAACTACCGATAGGAACGCGCCTAATCACAACAGTGATAAACGCACCTACCGACGGCTCCTACGCACCAGGCACTGAGCCAAGCCCCTCACAGCCGACAGCCCCACCAGGACCATCTGCGAGCTACCGCTGTTACCCCCACGTGCAGCAAAGGACGGCGAGGGCCGTAGATGAAAGAAGGCCACACGTCCATCGGGACGTGGCGTCGGGTTCCCGTCCCTTAACCTGAGCAGGCTCTGTCGTCCCCAGAACTTGGAGAAAGCAGGCTGAAGGCTGCGCTCACTTCTGAGCCCAGGCCTTGGGAGCTAGCAAGTTCCCCTCCTCGTCTTCCTGACTGGCTCTGGGAGGTCTGAGCTGCCCGCAGAAGGCGTGGAGAAGGGCAGGGCCGTGGCTGGGGGTGGCGATCCCTCTCCACAGCGGTCCTCCTCTGGACGACACCACGTGCAACCCAAGAATCCACCAGTTCATGGCCGCCTGGATTCCTGACCCCAACATTTTCAGACAAAACGGTTTCAAAGGCACTGAGCTTGGGGGTGGTTTGTGGCAGGGCACTAGACAACCCGACCCTAAGTCCACAGAAGATGGTCACACAGCTGAAAGCAGGTCATCAAGTGAAGGCAGAGTCAGGATTCAAACCAGGGACAGACTTCAAAACCCACACTTCCTAATCACTACTGCAAACTGTGCACTCGAAGCAAAGCGAAGGCCTTCCTTCGCAAGTCATCTACCTCCTCAGGTAGCCCCCAGGCAGGCCCTGCTGTAAGGCACGCACAGGCCCGGGCTGGGCCTGGGGAGGGGGGGGCACAGGCATCTCTTCCATCTTTGCAGCTAATGGTACAAGAAGCAGAAGTCTCGTGGGGTGCGGACACGGCTGCATCTCTGGGACCAGGGTGCCTCTGTGCCCAGCGGGTGCCTTACACACAGCCTTTGGGTGCGTGGATGCTCTCGGTCTGTCTGTGAAAATGGAGAGCGTCCCCATTGGACTCGGAGGCCTCTTCCTGCTCTAAAACCTACGAACGGGAGCAGGCACTGCGCCAAGGGATGGGGCGGGCTGCCGGGGACGCCCGGCCCGAGTCCCAGCTCTGCTCCCAATCCCAGCTCCCGGCTAACGCACAGCCAGGGAAGCAGCAGGCGAGGACGCAAGCAGCCGGTCCCTGCCACACGGGAGACCCAGATCGAGTGCCCGGCGGGCACCCAGGGAGTGAACCAGCAGAGGAGATGTCTCGGCCTCTCCTCCTCGCGAATAAAACCAACAGAAATCGCGGATAAAAGCCACAAATCCACACCAGGAACGTGATGGTGGAAAGGTGGACTGAATGGCACCAGACAACGGCCTCGACTGACTGCGTCACGCGTCCCAGGGAACCGAACCCCAGAGGGCTCCGGAACACAGGCCTCCCCGCGCCCTAGGCCAACTCTACCAACTCGGCAAACACGAAAGGAGAGAACTGGTGGATGTCTTCCAGCAACGCTGTCATCGACAGGCTACTTCTCCAAGAGCCGCAGCTGAGGCACCTCAGCACCAAGCCAGCCTCGTGCGGGTGACTCCGTCACACGGCACAGGCCAGCTCACACAGAGGCTATGTGCCGAATAGGCACACGCGACTCCTGGCGTGGAACAGGCTGTGTGTCACCTCCCCACAGGGCACCCCTATGTGCCAGGCGCCACGGGTGCGACAGTGATCACCCCCAGGAAGACGGTCCCTGGTCCTCACGAGTGCAGCACTGGGCCAGGGCCACTCAACGCAGGGAGCCGAGGTCAACGGGAAGGGAGCGCCCGCGGAGAGCTTCGTGGCGGAGGGACGTGCCCTGAAAGCTTTATTCTGCAGAGAGCGAGCTCACCCGTCCTGAACTTTCAGATACCACGTGAGGGCAAGATGCAGGAAGGCACGCGAGCACGAAGTCCATTTCTGTCCCGACACGCAAGACAGCTCGAGTGCTTCCGTGTTCTTATTTTTAAAAATTCTTTCCTGTTCAATATTTTTTTATTTGAAAGGCAGAAAGATACAGAGAGAGAGGGAGAGAGGACCTTCCATCAGCTGGTTCACTCCCCCAAATGGCCACAATGGCCAGGCTGAAGCCAGGAACCTGGGATTCCATCTGGGTCTCCCGTGGCTGGCAGAGACCCAAGGGCTTGGGCCCCTGCGGCCGCTTTCCCACGCACACTGGCAGGGAGCTGGATCAGAAGTGGTGCAGCCTGGACTACAACCAGCGTTCCCATGGGATGCGGGTGTCCCAGGAAGAGGCTTAACCCGCCAGGCGTTGTTCCAAACACTTGCATTGAAGGTTCTTGGCGGGGCCGGCGCCCTGGAGCAGTAGGTTAATCCTTGCTTGTGTTGCCGGCATCCTGTAAAGGGGCCGGTTCGAGTCCCAGCTGCTCT